CAGCGCTGAAAGCTGAAATTGGCCTGGGCAGGAAGGGGGTATAAGTGCCTGGTAGGCAAGTGGTTAAAGCATCCGAATGAAACGAATGATCCAAACTGATTCGATAATAGTGGGGATGCATGGATATATCGACGGCTGAAATGTATCGGCCAAAAAAAGGAAAAAAAGGTGCAGATAATGGCCGCTAAAAATGCGTGATTTTACCATGTTTAGGGTGCATTTTTCATAGGTCATGTGACTAAAAAAAACCACATCAAAACACAACACGTGTGCTTTTTTGATGGGTTTCAATGCATTTCAGGTCTGGTTCACACCAATGCAGTTTGCGTTGTGTCCGTTTTGCCATGCATTTTGTGTTTTTGCATGTCCATTTTTGATACTATTTTTTGAATTTTTTTTTTTCAATTTGGCCAACTTGTTGCTGGGCAGATTAAAAAATGTAAAATGTGGCAAATGCATGAAACCGCGGCAAAAATGCACTACATGCGTCTTCTACAGCATTTCCATTGAAGTCTACTGAAAAATGCAACATTTTGCGTTTAGAAAAGTCCCTGACCCTTTCCAAAAATGCATCAGGTCAAAAAAGCATAGATTTGAATGGTTCAATAGGCAGAAAAAGGGTGTGACTAATCAAGTGACTTTGAACTGTCAAATCGCATTGGTGTGAACGGGGGTAAATTATTTTCTGTGACTGATGCTACAGGATTTAATGTGCAGGAAATGCTTTTGGTATTCAGCTGCTTGGCAAATAAAATGGGCAGGGTCTGTTTTCAGTGTCATATTCTCAAGGCCACTTTTACTGTGTTACCCCTTGATCACAGATCTTTGTGATCGTGTAGTTCAGAATGTATGGCTCTTTTGGCATGCATATATAAAACCCCGCGGCTATTGCCTTGTCCTGGAATGGTATATGCTTGCCAGTGCCTAACCTTGTATCAGTGAGGTGCATCCAAAAGCCATGTACAACAAACAATACCGACTTTGCGGTGCGACTCCGACTTTGAAAAAAGGTTCCTGCACTACTTTTGGCAATTTCACATGTGACTTGGATAGACATCTGTGCATGACGTCGAATAGAAATCAGGCAATCCACACGTGAAATCCGACTGACCAGCGGCTTTGTAATCACACTACTTCAAGCATAGTTCTGGGTGTGATTTCAAAGCCACATTCAGTGTGAACCAGGGCTTAATGTTTAAATATTATTTAACATTTACGCTGCAAATGACCATGATAATATAATCATCCCTCAAATACACAGGACTGACCAGTTTCAAACAATATGATCAATACACTGTCTGCCTGGAAAAAAAACAAAACAAAAAAAAAAAAAAAGCACAACAGCCAGTTAAGCTGGTCAGACAATAATGGAAATTCAGCCAGTTGAGCTGGATGAAGCAATTTGTTTTTTCCCCCTTCTTCATTTAGACTAGCTAGCTAGAGGAAAAAAAAAAACCCTCCAGTGCATGGCTGGCTTTACACTATACAGTTATTGGATGAAGATCTCAAAGTTGCTCATGTCAGACACAAATTGTGTGAATGCCATTTTTTTTGCATTACATCATAATGGCCACAAAATACAGTATATAAAAAGAAATGAATAAGGACATGCAGCATGGTCTTTGAGAACGAGGTTATTGGACAATCCGTGCCCTGTGTAAAGACAGTGCTATAAAATATTACACTGCTATAGAAAAACCTGCAAACAGAGAAACGTATGGCAAATTAAGTTTTGTGTAGACTGTGAAGTGTTCCTGAATTCAATACTTCTGGATGTTTTGTCTTCAGTGTTACTTTAAACTGGCAATCTTATGTTAATATGACTATTCTGTCTAGTCCACTGCAGTTTTGTTTGTTTTTTTCTCTTAGAAACCACCCCGAAATCATTCTTACAGAAAGAACTGCAAACCAAACAGGCCCATTCCGTCTGTTAAGAAAAAGGCTTATATCTAGAATCTTTCAATTTAATGTATCTGTTTGGATACCTGACAAAAGTATTTGGGCTGCTTCAGAATCTGCCAATATGTTGTCTTTGGTCTTGCAGGAGCAGAATATTAGAATTAATAAATGCGAGGATATTCAAAGTACAGTTTTATAGACCCACCTACATACTTTTCAGGGCAAGCTAAAAAGCTGTGCCACCATGCGATGTCTAAAATGTATTAGAAAACAGCAGAGATATTTGTATAGCTACAAAGTATGCAGACTGAACTGTAATGTGGACATGAAGTAATCAAATTCATTTACAGCTATACATATATGCAATGTCAGAGATCTAGGAGCAAGTGATGACTAAAGCTGGCCATGCACAGAGCAAAATATCAGCGTGTTCCTGATCAGAGAACTGTCGGTCAAACAACAGCTGCATCCAATCAGATGCAGGAACTGTTCGAATATTTTCATAGCTGCTGAGGCCAGCTGTAAAAATACAATAGCTGGATGGAGAGGTTTTTTTTTTTTTTTCTTTCAACTTGAAAAAAATTCTGTGTGTATGGCCAGCATAACACCAACTTCCTACTAACTACATCACTATGCAAAACCATTTATGCATGAAATTAGCCTGCCATTGCATATGTTCCAGTGTTCCTTTCCCATAGGAAAGAGAAAAGGGATGACTTGCTATATTAACAATGCAGTATAAAATAACAATGTTATAACATAAAAACTGTATCAACGTGTTACCCTGTACATATCCAGGAATAGCAAAAATAATGCATGTATTTAAACAAACTGACCCCAGAGTCATGTATGTTTGCTCCAAGGAGTAAAATCATTATAATGGCACAGGAAATTGTCAGAAGTGGCATGCCCCACATTACCACTGCAGACAGACCCATTTCAGGTCTATCTATGCCAGTGTCTATTTCACAGCAAATCTGCAGCCCATTAACCACTTCCTGTCTGGACTATGTCTATAAACATCACCCACATTCACTGCCTGTGCACGCTCGGCACCGCGATCTGGTGCCAACTGTGTCTGGGAGGAACACCGATCGTTGTACGGGACCTCTGTGTGAGGTCCCAATTTATGTGATCACTGATTGGCCAATCAGTGATCACATGAGCAGTAGTAAACAAGATGTCACTTCCTGACATAATTGCTTACTACATGTGAAATCTGTGAATGATCACAGAGATCACACGGTACAAGGCTATTCACAACAGCCTTCTACCATGTGACAAACTGTGACCAATCACAGCTCGCACAGTATTTCTCAATGGCTGCAAGAATGTAGCCAGAGAGAAATAGAAATGATTGCTTTTATACCCATAAAGGCTGTAAAAGCATTCAGTGTAAAAAAAAAAAAAAAAAAAAAAAAAAAAAAAAAAAAAAAGTAGTACAGTGTCCCTATAGTGACACTGTACTGCTAGGGTGACAAAATGTTAAAAAATATATATAAATAATAATATAAAAAAATGTTTTTAGAAAAATTATAAATTTTGGTTATAAATTAATTTGGGTTATTTTTTCTTTTTACTAAAAACTAAGCTGAATACATTTTGGCCAATATTTATGAAAAAAGATTTGCCAAATTTTTAGAAGAAAAACACTTTTTTCAAAATTTGTGGACTTTCCTTTATATAGACAAAAAATAAAAATCTCAGTGGTGAATAAATACCAACAAAATAAAGATTTATCAGTCTCAAAAACATGCTAAAAAATTCATATGGGTACAGTGGTGCATGACCGCACAAGTGTGATAGCACTGAAAGCTGAAAATTGGCCTGGGCAGGAAGGGGGCGAAAGTGTCCGAAATGGTTAAGGACACTTTCACACTGAGGAGTTTTTGAAGCGTTTTTTTGGTTAAAAAAAAAAAAAAAAAAAAAAAAAAAAAAAAAAGCAAGCACCTGAAAAGCGCAAGCTTCCCAGTGACTGTGAATGTACATCTATGTAGGACTTCACACTAAGGCGTTGCACAAGCAGTGCAATGTAAAAACTCCTGCTTGCAGCATCTTTGGATAGGCGAGTTAAAAAAAAAAAAAAAAAAAAAACACAAAAAAAAACGCATCTTCCCATTGAAATCAATGAAAAACGCCTGAAAAGCGTTTCAAGTGCACATTTTTAAGTCATGTATCCTGTAAAAACGCTCAGAAAGTGTGGCAAAAAATGCCTATGCATTTTTGCGGCGGATCAGTGTGAAAGTAGACTTAAGGCTACTTTCACACTGATCTGCCACAAAAACGCATAGCCATTTTTACCGCATTTTGTAAAGGACACATGACTTAAAACTGCACCAAAAACGCTTCTCAGAGGCGTTTTCCATTGATTTCAAAAGGAAAGAGGCGTTTTTTTTGGCCTTTTTTTTTTTTTTTTTTTTTTAACTCCCAAAACATGCCCTAAAGATGTTGCAAGCAGAAGTTTTTACACCGCACAGCAAACGCAACGCCTCGGTGTGAAAACATAGATATACATTCACATACATAGGGAAACAGTTTTCTTGAGCTTTTCAGGTGCTTTTTTTTTTTTTTTAACGCAAAAACGCTTCAAAAACTCCTGTGTGAAAATAGCCTAAAGAGGGAATACAGCAGTTTTCAATATAGAAGAGGGCTGAAGATTCCTGCCAGGCGTGACCTTTATTTTATCAAACAGAATGTGAGCTGTCCATAGACCGATCACATCCCTCCCTCTGCCCGCGCAGTGATTACACAACACAAGCAGAGACTACACAGGGTTACCAACCATCCCAGCTCCTGTTCTGTGCCTTTTAACCACAAGCCTACACAGGGCACTTATACCCCCTTCCTGCCCAGGCCAATTTCCAGCTTTCAGCGCTGTCGCACTTTGAGTGACAATTGCGCGGTCATGCAACATTGTACCCATATGAAATTTTTGTAATTTTTTTGTGACAGATAGAGCTTTATTTTGGTGGTATTTAATCACCTCTGGGTTTTTTATTTTTTTCTTAAACAAACCAAAAACCACTGAAAATTTTGAAGAAAAAAAAAAGTTTTAGTTTTTGTTATAAAATTTTGTAAATTTTCTCCTTCACGGATGTGCGCTAATGAGGCTGCAGTGATGGGCACTGATAGGCTTCACTGATGGACACTGATAGGTGGCACTGGTAGGTGGCACTGATGGGCATTGACAGGCATCACTGATGGGCACTGAAATGCAGCACTGATATGCGACACTGACTGGCACTGTTAGGCAGCACTGACGGGTGACAATGAAAGGTAACTCAGATGGGCACTGATATGTGGCATGGATGTGCACTGGTAGGCACTGATATGTGGCACTGCTGGGGCTACACTGATCATCAGGGCACACCGATCATCAGTGCCCTGATGATCAGTGTACATGTCCCCTCCGCGGAAAGCAGATTACCGGCTCTCCTCCCGAGCTGTCAGTGTGACAGCTCGAGAGGAGAGAAATGCCGATAACCGGCATTTCCCTGTTTACACGTGATCAGCTGTGATTGGACACAGCTGATCACATGACCGAGCCGACATCTTCGGTTCTTTCCGTGATCGGTGATCCGCTGTGTCCGAGGGACACAGCGCACCGCCGATTACCACGCTGCGTGCTCCCTGAGAACCACCTTGTGTCCATCATATTACTATATGGCGGGCGGGAGGTGGTTAAACAAGTATTGCACTTGCAAAACTAAACTCCCCCCCCCCACACACACACACACCTATAAAACTTGCAGTGTACTAATAAACAAACTATGCACACCTGAGGCCTATGCTGAAGGTAATCACATCAGTGCAAGACTTCATATACACTAAACTATTGTTAGTGAACTAGAGGTTCCAGCACATTATTGGCAGTAGGGCCCTTTAAAAATGGTCTGTTCCTAGGTTATTATTATACAGGATTTATATAGCGCCAACAGTATGCGCAGTGCTTTAGAAAGTTACAATACAATTTGGTACAAGAGGAAACGGAGGGCCCTGCTCGTTAGAGCTTACAATCTAGGAAGAAGGGTTGAGTGATACAAAAAGGTCAAAGCTGTGGGGGGGGGGGGGGGGGGGGGGGGGGGGTTAGCTGATGGAGGAAATAAGATGCAGTTTTACTAGGTAGAAGCAGGATAGGCTTCTTTAAAGGTTTTCAGGGATCATCTAAAACAGTGGTTCTCAACCTTTCTAATGCCGCGACCCCTTAATACAGTTCCTCATGTTGTGGTGACCCCCAACCATAAAATTATTTTCGTTGCTACTTCAGAACTGTAATTTTGCAGTGGGGGGAGGAATCGCGCCCCATCGTTGGTGTCAGTGGGGGGAGGAATCGCGCCCCATCGTTGGTGTCAGTGGGGGGAGGCATAGCGCCCCATCGTTGGTGTCAGTGGGGGGAGGCATAGCGCCCCATCGTTGGTGTCAGTGGGGGGAGGCATAGCGTTCCCCCCATCGTTGGTGTCAGTGGGGGGAGGCATAGCGCCCCATCGTTGGTGTCAGTGGGGGGAGGCATAGCGCCCCATCGTTGGTGTCAGTGGGGGGAGGCATAGCGCATAGCGCCCATCGTTGGTGTCAGTGGGGGGAGGCATAGCGCCCCATCGTTGGTGTCAGTGGGGGGAGGGCATAGCGCCCCATCGTTGGTGTCAGTGGGGGGAGGCATAGCGCCCCATCGTTGGTGTCAGTGGGGGGAGGCATAGCGCCCCATCGTTGGTGTCAGTGGGGGGAGGCATAGCGCCCCATCGTTGGTGTCAGTGGGGGGAGGCATAGCGCCCCATCGTTGGTGTCAGTGGGGGGAGGCATAGCGCCCCATCGTTGGTGTCAGTGGGGGGAGGCATAGCGCCCCATCGTTGGTGTCAGTGGGGGGAGGCATAGCGCCCCATCGTTGGTGTCAGTGGGGGGAGGAATAGTGCCCCATCGTTGGTGTCAGTGGGGGGAGGAATAGTGCCCCATCGTTGGTATTAGTGACACAAATGATGGGGCACTATCCCTTCCACTGACACCAATGATACTTACCTTGCTGACTCCTGCTCCAGCCTGGGCTCGCTCTCTCCCTCTCCCATCTACAGCCTGCATACCTGGCTGCAGCAGCAAAATTTGCACTTACCTGTCAGCTGTCTTCCTTCTCTGGCCTCTCTCTTCACTCGTTCCTGCAGCTCCCTCGATCTTCTTCGATCTCCGCGCGCTGCCGCTCGGCTCCTCCTCTCCAAGCTCCACCTTCTCGCCGGTGATTGGCCGCCTGTGTGCCTCTCCTGAGCTACAGTTCCGGTGGCCAATCAGCGGCGAGGAGGCGGTGACAGGGGCAGCATATCATCCCGCCCACACATCGCCGGAGACAGCAGCGGTGTCTCGGTTCCTAAGACCATCGGAAATATGTGTTTTCCGATGGTCTTAGGCGACCCCTGGGAAATGGTCGTTCGACCCCCAAAGGGGTCGCGACCCCCAGGTTGAGAACCGCTGATCTAAAAGGTGGATAGATTAGGAGACAGCCAGACAGATTGGGGTAGGGAGTTCCATAGGATGGGAGAAGCTCGGGAGAAGTCCTGAAGGACAGCATGAGAGGAGGTGATATGGGAACTAGAGAGCAGAAGGTCTTGGGAGGATCGAAGAGAGCGGTTTGGTTGATATTTTGAGACCAGGTTGGTGATGTAGCTGGTGGCAGAGTTTTGGATGGCTTTGTAAGTTGTTGTTAGTATTTTTAATTGTATTCATTGGGATAGTGGAAGCCAGTGGAGAGATTGGCCAAGAGGGGTAGCAGACACTGAACAGTTGGTAACGTGGATGAGCCTGGCAGCAGTATTCATGATTAACTGGAGGGTGGATAGCCTATGTAAAGGTAAGCCAATGAGGAGGGAGTTGCAGTAGTTGAAGCGAGAGATTACCAGGGAGTGAATTAGGAGCTTTGTGGCATCATTGGTTAAAAAAGGGCGTATTCCTGAAATGTTGCGGAGGTTGAGGCGGCATTATTTGGACAGGGATTGGATGTGGGCCTGAAAGGATAGTTCAGAATCCAGGGTTACCCCTAGCACCCTGGCATGAAGGGATGGGTTGATAGTGGTGCTATTGATCCTGACTGAGAAATCAGGGGAAGAGGCACGTGGGGGAGGAAATATTATGGACTCCATTTTAGATAGAGTTTTAGGAAGCGGTGTGTGACATCCAGTCTGATATGTCTGTTAGTAAATCGCTGATATGTGGGGAGAGAGGGGTGGGGGGGAGGGGAGAGAGAGAGGGGGGGGGTAGGGAGGGGGAGAGAGAGAGGGGGGGTAGGGAGGGAGAGAGAGAGAGGGAGAGAGAGGGGGGGGGTAGGGAGGGAGAGAGAGAGAGGGGGGTAGGGAGGGAGAGAGAGAGAGGGGGGGGGGTAGGGAGGGGAGAGAGAGAGGGGGAGGTAGGGAGGGAGAGAGAGAGGGGGGAGGTAGGGGAGGGGAGAGAGGGTGGGGGAGGGGAGGGGAGGGGGAGAGAGGGGAGGGGAGGGGAGAGGAGAGAGGGTGGGGGAGAGAGAGTAGGGGAGAGAGGGTGGGGGAGAGAGAGAGGGGGAGAGGGGGGGGAGAGAGAGAGGGAGAGAGAGGGTAGGGGGGAGAGAGAGGGGGGAGGGGGGAGAGGGGAGAAGGGGGGGAGAGAGAGGGGGAGGGGGGAGAGGGGAGAAGGGGGAGAGAGAGAGGGGAGGGGTGGGGGGAGAGGGGGGAGAGGGGGGAGAGAGAGGGGGAGAGGGGGAGAGGGGAGAAGGGGGGAGAGAGGGGGGGGGGGGAGAGGGGAGAAGGGGGGAGAGAGAAGGGGGGGAGGATTTGTGTGTCATCAGAATAGAAATGGTATTGGAAACCATGGGAAGCTGTCAGTTGACCCAAGGAAGAAGTGTAGATCGAGAATAGGTCCAAGGACAGAACCTTGGGGGTCCCCGACAGTAAAAGGAGTAGAAGAGGAGGAAGTAGAGTTGTAAGTGACACTGAAGGTGCGATGAGATAGGCAAGATTCAGACCAACGGAGAGTACAGTCACGGAGACTAAGTAAACTGAGTTTTTTGAGGAGGGGGTGGTCCACTGTGTCAAAGGCAGCGGAGAGAGGTCCAAGAGCAAGAGTACAGAATAGTGACCATTGGTTTTAGTGGTTAGCAAGTAGTCTGTGAGTTTTAGGAGAGCAGTTTCTGTGGAGTGTTGTGGGCGAAATCCAGACTGGAGGGGATGAGAAGGTTATTCTCAATAAGGTGGCAGCTCAGCAGGTTGTAGACTAGATGTTCAAGGAATTAGGAGGCAAAAAGGAGTAAGGAGATCGGTCTTAGGCTGCTATGATTGGCGGGGTCCAGTGAGGCATTTTTAAGCATGGGGGTGACTAGCACATGTTTTAGAGAGTTGGGGAAGATGCCAGTAGAAAGGGAGAGATTGAAGATATGAGTTAAAGAATATAACTACAGCTTTATGGATAAAATTCAAACCACAGTGTGGTAAAGTTCAGCAGAGAACACATTCATCTTAAAAAGCATGTATTGCTTAACAGACAAAATCAATATATAAAATTGGGAGAATATGGCCTTTGATAGCATGAATATCATAACTGGCATAATCGTTCCAAGCTGATACTTTGTTTCTCCGAAGCGTTTCACGGGAAGGAGCCTGCTTCTTCAGGGAGACAAAGTTTACAATTTTACAAAAAATAGGCCAAAGAAAGACAGATAAATATTGAACAAAAATTGAAAAAGTAATAATGAATCTAACAAACGCTCTATTAACATATACCCATTAGCAACATCAATTACTTTGTAGGAGGCCAGTGGAAAAACATGAGCATTGGATCCAGACAGAGGTGGAAGAGGTCCCTCAATCAAAAATGTAGATGTCCGCCAATTGGACAGAATTACAAACCCACAATAGGAAGCTGAAAAATTATCAAAAAGATCAAGATGTTTAAAAAAAAAAAAAAAGTGTCCCAGGGCATTACAAACTACACCCCTACTCCCCAAAACTAGTTATATATTAAAACCCTGAAAATGGGACAACAAAGAAAGGGAGACAAAGCATATACTATATCCCTAAAAAGACTCAACTTAATCATCCTAGATTGTAAACTCCAAGGAGCAGGGCCCTCGAACCCCTCATGTATTGTAGTGTGTTATATGTACTGTCCCCCACTATAATGTACAGCGCTGAGCAAACTTTTTGGCGCTATATAAATACTGTATAATAATAATACGGTGTCATATAATTTAAATTATTTCAAAGCATTATATGTTTAATCCTGACTATCCCCTAAAAAAAGAGAAAAAGGGGAAAAGATAATAATACGTGGGTCCATTTATAGATGTCACTTGAGTACATACTGAATCGGACAAGGTATTTATATGGTCAAAAAGCCCCAAGCAGAAAAAGGTCGCTCTGACATCAATAAAAATAAACCAATCCTTTGTCTAGTGATAACAGTCCTCTCCTGGAATATGCCTCAGTTCCCAGGTCTTAAATAGCAGACTAGGCCGCCAAGTTGCCGGCGTTTCCACCATATGGCGCATGCGCGGCAACGTCATCGATGTACATGTGTGACGTCATGATGC